TACGTTTTATGTAAAATATAATTTTTCTAACTCTATAATACTGTGTGTGTTTTAAATACTAATTTCATTATTGCTTCATTATTAGGCAAAGTACCACAAATACCTTATTTCTTCCATTACCCTATTGATTAATCAATTATATTTGTTTTAATAGACCGGAGCATATAATTTTTTGTTTATCTATTTTTTAATTATTATGAGAATTTTGTGAAATTTAGAGTTAAATTACTTAATATAATTACAAATACATTTATATTTTAATTTTACTATTGATAAATCAATGCTTGCAACGGTTTATAATTAGATATAATTAAATTTGATATGTATACATCTCGATAATTATAATTGTTTCGTATTTCTTGTATGTTATAAATATTTGGTATAGATTCACGCGCATACGTATATGATTAAATAAGGTACTATCGCTTATATGCTAGTACGAATATATATATTATTTTATATTACTATAAATAATTGTTTGGAGTACAATAATTTTAAATCATTTAACAACTTTTTCTCATTTTAATAATAAAAAATTATTTTTTATTATAATGTATAACTATTTTTTTTACTATTTTGTTAGTTGCACTTATGCTTCCTGAATACTTTAGATAATAGACTTGTACATATATTCTCAAATTAAATAAAAATAGTATTATAACTTTATGCACAAATCTAAATGTAATCGACAGACTTACAGGTAATACGAAATTATAACGAATGTACGAATAGGTATTTCAATATTAATATAATATAATATTTTTTGGTAAAATAATCGCAATTTTATTTAATATTATTATACATTAAAAAATATATGTACAACAAAATCATGTTTAATAATATAATGCTGTTATTCGAATATTGCAATTTATATTATATTCTATCTGTTAATTCTTTTATACTATTGTAACAATGTTTAATTTTGACAAATTAAATAATTTCTTGACTATATCACTGTAAATATTCAAGAGTACATATAAAATGGTACTTAGGCAGGATAATAAATTTTATATTTGAAAAATTGAAAGTAAATATTATAGAAATATTATGGAAATACATAGAAGATTTTATAAGAAGATAATAATACTTTTTGTATTTAAATGAAACTGCAATACTGATTAAAAATATTAAGAATGATAATATGTCAGAATGAAAACAAAGATTTTCATAGATTGCAACTTTAAATGTTTTTGTCCTCTTAAGTAGTCCATTTAAAAAGTTTAATAGTCGTAATTATAAGCTTGCATAAAAACTATCTATTGCAAATTTAAAAAATGTAAATATTTTTAGTAAATAAATTATGTGAATGTAATAATTTTTCTAATTACTAATTATCCTAAGTTGTTGATAAAATCACAAAAATATATTTATATGATTCTAATTTACTTGACACTTATTTACAGATAATCTATACAGTTCTAAAATATTCTAAAGTTGTAAAGTAATTTGTTAACTGTAGCATTTAAAATACGAATCTGTTACTATAAAAAAAAAAAGTACGCCTTAAACTTAAGCAGTGATCGTGCATTTCGTGACATTGTATTCGATGACTGTTCTATGCTAAATTTTTAAATTATTGTTGTGCACCGGTTATATAGAAGCGTAGAGAGCAGTTAAGATTACCCACTAATCGAAGTGGGTAACTTCGAACTAACGAAAGCCTCAGCCGATGTTCTGAATCGCTGAGCGATTAATCGATGGAAATATTATTTCCAGCATTTCATTATTTCGAATTATGCTGCTTTTATATACATCAATGCTGAACTTGCTAGAATTAGTTTATTGAAACATACTAAAGTAGGTAAAAAGATAGAAAAAGAAAACTATTATCTTAATATGATGAGGGAAATTTTGATTTGAAAATATAATCCAGTTTATATTTAATCTAATAAATACGATCCATGAATGACAAGGAGTACATTAATCTCTTGTCTAATCGCCTTCCTGGTGAAACTTTATATTAAGAGAATTATTTATTTCTCGCTGCAAAATAATTAAAATTCGATAACTTCACTAATTAGTGCTATATTTATTTGTATTTATTACTGAGAATTATTTTTAATTTTACATTGAAATAATTAAAATAACGTATAAGATAAAAAATATTATATATAATACTGAAAATTCATTTGATTTCCAATTAAAAGATTTAAATATCTATAATTAGATAAACAAATTTATTATTATTAATTGTAGTAATTTGAAATTATAAATCGATAAATTAAGGAAATTGGTAAGAACTATGAATTACTTTTATCAGGTAATAAAGGAATTTAATTTATCTGATTATTGTATTTTGTACATTGTATAACTATGAAAATTTAAAATAATCGATATCCGACAAACAGCGTCACGCAAAGACGAGTTATTCTTTATCGCAGTCACACGGTGCCGAAAGAAAGTTCATTAAATGAATTATCGACATTTGTCTATTTGAAAAGGCGTGAAAAATTTGAAATACAAGAGAACGGAACATAGATTGAAAAATTGCAAAGCAAGAGAAACGCAAAAAGAACTTTTGTTTAATGCAAAAGAAATAATTTTAAATACGATTAAATAAAATGTAAAATAGAGTTTCTTAGGATGAATGATAGTATTTCTCAAGTAGTTTTAAGTTTATTGCAGTCAAATAAGTGATAAGAAATTTAATATAAATACGTTAAGATTGAATAAAAACATTCTTTCTTATTTATTTACATGGCTTATCTTTAAAATAAACAAATTCAATTACAAAAATAATAAATTAAATATGGAATAGTCTACATATACATCTTTCAATTTAAGTTTTTAATATAACTTTAAAATCGAATTCTTTTAATTTATTATTGTCTAATAATAACCGCATTAAAAGATTAGAATATAATCTCCTGTTTTGAACATTCTACATTTAAAAATGGATGGAAGAAGCCATTTCCAAATTCAAATTTAAAATTTGAAATTATTGTATTGGAAAAAGAAAAGAGAAATATTTTAGAAAAATGAAGCAAATAATAATTCTTGATCGACACTATGTAAGATATATGAGCTGTCAAAAAAATAATTGTAGAGAGATAACATTAAACACAGATGACAAATGAAAATTTAGAGACAGAGAAAGTTGTATTAATAGCGTAATCTTGTTGCATATATCATACTTCATTATATGAATTAAACACATTAATATAAATTAATAAAAATCAAATTTGAAATAAAAAAAATTAAAAAAAAAAGTGTAATTCAAAACAGATTTACTAATAACAAGAAATTAACAAGTCACACTTGCAATATAAAATTACTAAGCTAATTTGTTTTGTTATGTAAGAAATGATCAGTTGATATGCACAAATCATATTTCTTTTTCTTTGTAATACCTAATTGTTATCAGAAACGTTCTAATCCGCTTGCTCAGTGACGTTGTCGTGACAATTAACATTGTATTGGACATAAATAAATCAATATTTTCGCATCTGACTACGAAATTCCCCCTGACTGAAGTGATTTGGCTTGATTTTATTTTACTGTGTGCTGATTATATAACTAACTAATAATTTTTGATAATTCTAATTTTACTTTTCAAATAATTATAACTCATATTTTGTCAAAATTTGTTATTTTATATAGATTATATAGTAAATATTATTTAGACATTTTAAAGCGTGTATTCTATATAAAAAAAAAACAAATTAAAATTGATAAAATTGATAAAATAAATGATAATTTACAATTATGACTGATTATTAACTTAAAGAATTTTCTAGGTTAATATCTGTATTCTTGGAGAACAAATATAATACGGTAAACTATATTTTCGAAACTGAAAATTCATTAAATTTCTGAATATAAATACTAGGTAATGAATAATTCTACTTCAAATTTAGCTGAACTATTTTAATAAAAGTCACAATTTCTCCAATAATGATCGTATTAAAATAATATTAACTTTTAATCAAATTTAATTAAAATATATTTTAAGAAAGTTTTTAATAAAATTGTTGTAATAAGATGCAGATCATAACTATGGACATTATTTCATAAATTTTATTTAATGGCTAAAAACTATTATGCAGACTTAAAAAAGTATCTTCTAAATTGTTAGACATTTAGAGAATTTCGATTTTTTAACAAACCCTTTAAGCTCTATTCTTATTCTGTTTTATGTTAATTTTATTTTTATATTATTAAAAAAAATTTTTAATTTATTTATACAATTTAAATTTATAATAACAAATTCACTCAATTTCTCACAATTCAATTATGAATAATTCATTAAGTTATCGTATAATTATATAATAACAAAGAAGAAATATTCAAATTTAAATAAGTTCTATCAATAATAGAAAGAACAACAAAAATGTTATGTAATATTATAAAAGGCCCCTTAAATCAGAATATATATATTATTTACTTAATTATTTCCTTACCTACAGAAAAACAAATAAATTTTGTTTTTTTATTTTATTTATATTTTTCTCTCATTTATAATATTTTAATTTATTAAGAGGATTTATTAAATAATTGAGTTGCAAAAATGGTTTCTGATTAAAGATTGAGATTATAATTTTGAAAAATACTAAATTTTAATATATTTGAAATATATATATGGCTGAAAACAAATTTGAATCGATGATAAAACATAAAATTTTATCTTATTTAGATTTTTAATTATAGAATATTTAATATTATAGAGCTTCATATTAAATATATTTTGCATTACAATTTACTCGAACTAATCAGTGATTTTAATTAAGTGATTCTTTTTTTAATGCTTTTCTACACTTATTGTGTGATGAAATATATTCTACTACAGTAGCAAACATATTATAAGATTAAAGGAAAATATATTAAAATATTTAAATTGATATTGTACGAGAAGCAACAACAATGCACTAAAGTATTAATATAAAAATAGAACATACATTTTACTGGTAATTGGTTTCTCACTTTACGAACGAATTTATAGATGACCAGTAAAGACTCCCTGCGTATGAAATTAAATTAGCTGAAAAACAATTTGTACTTGCCATTCTGCATTGCAACGCTCTTATCCTCAACCCTGCTAACGTAACAACAGAGTTCATCCTGTCGATCTGCATTCTCAATAAGTTCAGCTTCCACTGAGAATCCCCACATTTGATCAAGCGTGTTCCTCTGCAACTCTACTTGATAGAGAATCTTGGCGCAAACTTCGACGACCTCGTGCGTATGAAGCTAATGGGATTTGATATTGCAGATTAAGTTAGTTGTGCTATAACTAAATTCTCTTGATTGATATTTCTTATAAAACTTTTATTGATAAAAATTTCGTATCTATTTACTGAAAATTTAAGAATTTAACTTTTTTAAAATTTTCAGCGCCGTTTTAGTTTCATCATTTGTTTTGTAACTCAATACAGCTTTTTTATAATAATTTAACACACAATTTTAATAAATTAAAATATTATTCAAATTTAATGATATGAAAAAATTTACATGTCAATATCAGAAAATTGAGAATTATCAAATATATATATATATGTGGTTGAATAGGTAATCTTTAAAATATGGACAATATGTATTTAACGAATGATCAAACGCATTGGTAAGAATATTTCTTTTATAATTTATATTAAAATACTTGTAATAACTACAGTTATTAGTGCTAAGTTAAATAAATTTTAAAAATATTAGAGGAAGAAAATCTTATTTTTCGATAAATATTGAGAAAGTAATTTAGTAAAATCATTTTATAGAAAGTTGTGTGCATTGTTGAAAATTCAACATTTCGTTTTTGTGCGGAAAAAAGTCCTAAGATATAACTGTACAAAATATAAACATTCATTTTATTTGATAGTATATACTAAGAAACTTACGTAGGGTTCTATAGCATCAGATCTATGTGGCACGAAATAATTATGATCTTCCATGTCTCGGCGTTTTTTCACTCGGACAAAGTGTTCCATTGCATTCAAACCTTTTCTGCTACATGCGCTAGCGAAGAACTCTTCAACAGTCATTCCGTCTCTCAGGAAAACCGATACGAGCTACAACAGCAATAATAATCATAATTTCACCGTCATAAAAATGAAATTTTACATTCTTAACTAAATCATCGATTTTAATGTGCGTGAGAGGAATATTTATGAAATATTTATTACAAATTATACGAAAATTTATTAAAATTACTTATGGGTAGATAGTGATTATATAAGATAGTATCTTTAATTTATTTTTCTTATGAACATAATCATAATAATTCTGCATCAATGAAAATTTTTATAATGATTTATAATTTATTTATTCTATTATTGTAAATATATTATAAATGTATAATAAAATAGATATATTATTATTACTACATATTATTGATTATTTCATAAATTGTATATTTTTAACGAATAAACTGCAAAAGTTCCAAGATGTGAGAAAAATTAATAAAATTAAGCATTAATTGACTCTAAATATGTCATTTATATTATTTTCTTTGTTAAGAATATTTCGTTTATATCAAAATCATTATGGTTATTGTTCTTACAATGAAATTAGTTTCTCAAAGTTCCGAATAATTTCATTGACTTCAAAACATAAGAAATGTAATTTTGTATTATATAATTTTTTATATTGCTACTATAATATTAAGGAACTACTTTTCAAAAATTTTTATTTATATTTATTCTAAATTATTCAGATGTAGATTTTGAATAGCCTAAATTTGAAAGAATAAACTTGTAATATAAAGTTGGTAGAATTTATATACCTTGGATTGCTTATTATTCATTACGAACAGTGTTCAAATTGCCAACTGACTCATTAATTAAAAATAAAATAATCGATTTAAAAGAAGAATATTGAAATAAGACATTAAATGCATGATTGGGGGGGAGGGGGGGAGCAAAAACTTGCTCGTAGATTAAAACTGAATTTTATTAAAATGAAAAGTAAAAAGTATGGAAAATAGAGAAAATGTGCTCCAAGACACGGCTACTCAGGGATTAATTAACATCCATTGAATAAATAACGAATAGAATCGATTGTTTAATTGACATTCTTGGCATCCCAAGAATCTGCGATAGGCTAGGCATCGATAATATTCAGAGTCGTGCCGAATTCTCTAATATTGACCTCGTAGTCACCTGATGAAGAGGAAAAAGATGAAATTCTTGAAATGCAAAGATAATATTACTAACCTGATTCTCAGGTACAGTTACTTTAACGTTCTTCTCCTCGTCCCTGCAAGACGTCTGCAGCGATCGCCTGCTGGAGCTGCTGTTGGAGCGCGATAATAAGGGCGGTCGCCGCTTGGTTGCCCCGCGTCCCGCTAGCAAATTATTCAGGAGCGAGGGGCTTCGGGCGCATATAAACGCGTGGAAGGAGGACACCGTGAAGACGCCCAACTTGTTCAGGGTCTGCTTCGTTGCTCGTGAAACGTGGGTGAGTAAACTCTGCGAACAGCCAGGCGACCATTTGCCACCTCGTCATTTCCCATTTCGGAACTCTTCCCCTTCCATCGCTTATTATAAATCCGTCGTCAACTTTTTTTCTCCTCTTTTTCCTTATTTTTGGCAACCGGATTGCCGTATGCGGGATTCTTTACTTTTTTCGTACAAACTTATCGTGTCGGGATTCAGTTTATTTTCTTATGCCGTACTTAATAGATATTGTTTTTAGAAACGAAGTAAAATATTTAAGGATGGAAGAAAAGGACGGCTTATACAATTTTGCATTTCAATAAAATTTGAAACACGATGAATTGATGATAATTGTGTATTGAGAGTATTTAGTATTTATTTACATCGATATTATTTTAATATTTTAAGCTCTTTGTTTTTCATCGGTATTATTGAAGCTATCGATTATTTGTATATGAAAATTAATGTGAAAAATTGAGAAATTGTTATGGTGCAGTAACGCAAAAAATTGGGATTAAAACTTTGCAATCGAAAATGTGTGGGGAATTTTAAGTTTTAAGCATATGTATACATAACTCACGTTATCTGAAAACTTTAAGGATACTTTGCTAAACATACTTTACAGCTCTGAGTTTAAATAATTGTTGTTATGAAATTGAGTATTCTTTAAATTCCCAAGAGTTTTAGACATTTCTCATTTAGAAATGAACATGCCATTAAAAGCTGAGAAGACAGAAAAATTTTTTAAAACAATTTATAACATTAATTTACATGGATTTATAGATAATAAAATTGTCACATTAAGTTGCAATTATTATTTATTTATTAGAATTTTAATGCCTAATAATAAGATAGTTATGTATTATTCATTATTTTTAATCAAAGATTATTCTAGTAAAATTTAATTACAGCTCATAATCATCGTATATTCGTATATTTATTTCTATATCAAGTTAAATTATGAAAGAAATTGAGTAATTAAATTTATATACATTGTGTGATAATTAAATTACCTTGGGATTAGGGAGTTCGCCACTTTGTAAGCTTGCCATGTAACACCTAAGACGGAACTGCTCACAGTGTAATCGTTCGAGGTTTTCTTCATACTGCATAATTTGATTGTTTATCTGCTGTTTTGTATCAGCGTCGGGTACCACAGACTGTTGTAAATCTGCCATATGTCTCATATTATGATCCTGAAAATTTTCATGCTCAGTTCTATCTAACTAATCGCTACAATACAGTTTCGAACTAAAAAAGTTCTTTAAGTCATTGCATAAGAATAGATTATTAAGAGGAGGTCGGCTTATGCAACTTTATTTGACATTTTCTTATATCTTTGGCACGGTGTTTGTACTTTTACAAAAATTAAAATGTAAATTTGTAGGAATAAAAAGACAGATTTTATTTATTCACATTTATACTCTATGAATTCTTCTATATCAATGCCACATCATAGTAATAGATTATTAATACGCCATTGCATATTAAGAAATGAAAATCATTGAAACTGTATAAATGATTAATTGTTCATAAAGCAGCCATTTATCATATATATGAATAACAAATGTGACATCACAAAATTTGACTTACCGATTCAATGGTTTTATCCAATCGGAAAATCTCTTCTTGGAGAAGGTGCAGAGTACCAGTTTTACCACGATGACGAGCAAAGGCTGCCGCACAAGCTGAATGTATACTGTTCACCCAGTTCTCGAGTTCCACTTGACATGGAGCCTTGACAAACAAGATTAAAATTCATTTAATCAGTGCAAAGAACTACGGACTGTCGCTGTTGCTACTAGAGACAAATAATTGTGTTTGCGAATATTATCTTTAGTTTTTATTCTCTACTCTTTTATCCGACGTTCGCGCATTTATGAATAATGGAAATTCTATTAAATAAGGACGTATATATAAGACATTGTTAATTTTAAGATATCCGTCCGAAAACACATGTACTTTCCAGACTTGGACATAAAAAGATATCGAATTGTCAAGCTTCGATTACTATCTCTGACATACTTAGGAACTTC